GTGCCCGAACTTGCAGACGATTCGATCAGAAGAGAATAATCCAAAATAAGCTCACGAGAACATTTCCAGAAACTTCTATAACAGCCTGTATGTGGGCATCTTTTAACGAAACAAAACTTTTAAAACGAATTATAGTTTTTAAAAATTTGAAAAATAATTGTTGAACTCTGCCAAAAAAAAATGAACCAAACTTAAAACAAAAGTTTCTGTGATGTGTAATTAGGTGCTTACCGACTGGAAATCTTGAATATATCACAAAAAACTTGCAAGGCTTTTTTTTTCATCAGTTTCCTAAAAGCAAGGTGTCAGATGTCTTCGGTACATCACACTTCATTTCATTAAGATGTCTCGTCAGGCAGAAATAGTAACGAGACTTTTTAAAAATATTTCTTTCATTTTAATTGGCGGGAAGTAAAGCGGAAATGATTTTAATTAAACCTGATTGGTTCGAGTTTATCCAATATCGTTCGACTTTTCTATTTTGACGTGATATTTAACAGAAGATAAAATTCTATAGAAAGAAATGTATAGTTATGTGAAGGTTACCAATAAGAGATATCCCACTGTTCAGCTTTGATGATCTAGTAAACATGGGCAGATGAAGTAGAGTTTATCTGTTTAAGCGACCTAGGCATGCAGGGGGAATAGTATGGTCAACATTAAGCCCTGCTACTTTGAACTGATATACATTCACACACACACAATATAGATAGAAATATACTTATACATACATATATATATATATATATATATATATATATATATATATATATATATATATATATATATATATATATATATATATATATTAATAGGCATATTAATAGGCATACATTCATACATACCTATATATATATAGTCATACATTTATACATAAATAAATAAATAAATATATATATATATATATATATATATATATATATATATATATATATATATATATATATATATATATATACATATATATATATTCATATTTGTATATATATATATATATATATATATATATATATATATATATATATATATATATATATATATATATATATCGAGGGAAGTTAGAATGCCAGAGGTACAGCCTACTGGGACCATGCTTTCAACTTTCTTCACAGACGCCATGTTTAGATTGCAACCAGCTCAGGTAATGTAAGCAGGCACAGGTAGAAAATAAGGTGCATCGTCTAGCTTCGGCCTGAACAGGTGGGAGGGAGTAAATTTAAAATTTGAAACAGAACTGGGGGTCAGCTGTAGGGGTCAACATGTGGTGAGTGCTTGGGTTACCATTTGTAGGCTCCCCCCCCCCCCTTAATTAATGAGTTATAGAAGAAACATAGTTGAGCAAATAGCACACTAACATCTGGGTTGATAGGGTTTATGTATAAACATGAGATTAGTAATCATTGGAAGCGAAATTATCCAATTTAAAGATATTCTACAAAACCTAACTACATCGTAGCAAAAGTAGCATTAATTACTCTTTTTCTCTCTTTCTCTCTCTCTCTCTCTCTCTATCTCTCACCCTCCCTCTCTCTCTCTCTCTCTCTTTCTTTATGTCTTTCTCCCTAAATAAATAAATATATATATATATATATATATATATATATATATATATATATATATATATATATATAGGCTATATATATAGACCCCCTTAACCGCCCTCCCCTTGTCTACAACACAGGTGTATGTCTATTCACAAAAACAAAAATTTCCCTTTTCTCTGAAATAAAACAAACACTGGGACCAATATAAAAACAAAATGTGTGTAGCAGTAGGTTTTACGACATAAAATAATAATTAGCTTCCCTACTTCCAACTTTCTAATCAAAGATATAACTGATACTAAAAAGACGAATACATTAAGAAAAACAAAAGTTTATTTAAAAAAACTCTCTACCACTATCCCTCTATTGAAAACATCACTTCTTCAAGAAAAGGTATCCGTCATCTAATAATAAATCGTCCATCAAGAACATATCTTTACATCAGCATTAATAACATATTACTTTCAAATAATTTACAACAATTTAAATCACTTAAATGTATTACTTCCAAATAATTCACACCAATTTAAATCACTAAAACGTATTACTTTCAAATAATTTACATTAATTTAAATCACTAAAACGTATTACATTCAAATAATTTAGATTAATTTAAATCACTCAAACGTATTACTTCCAAATAATTCAGAGCAATTTAAAGCACTAAAACGTATTACTTCAAAGAATTCACACCAATTTAAATCGGTAAAGCGTATTACTTTCAAATAATTCACAGCAATTTAAATCACAAAAACATGTTACTTTTAAATAATTCACACAAATTTAAATCAGTAAAACGTATTATTTTCAAATAATTCCCAACAATTTAAATCACTAAAACGTATTACTTTCAAATAATTCACACCAATTTAAATCACTAAAACGTATTACTTTCAAATAATTTACATTAATTTAAGTCACTAAAACGTATAACTTCCAAATAATTTACATTAATTTAAATCACTAAAACGTATTACTTTCAAATAATTCACAGCAATTTAAATCACTAAAACGTATTACTTTCAAATAATCCACACCAATTTACAGCAGTAAAACGTATAATTTCAAATAATTCACATCAATTTAAAGCACTAAAACTTATTACTTTAAAATAATTCACACCAATTTAAAGCAGTAAAACGTATTACTTTCAAATAATTCACAGCAATTTAAATCACTAAAACGTATTACTTTCAAATAATTCACATCAATTTAAAGCAGTAAAACGTATTACTTTTAAATAACTTACACCAATTTACAGCAGTAAAACGTATTACTCTACAACTACGGAAAACTCCAACTTCAGTATCTAAAGTGGGTGTAAATGGCGATATCCCAGATATGCTAAAACTGCCTGTTTGAAAAGAATAAACTGGGTTAGAGTGGAGAGAACGGGTCGAGGTGAGGGGGGGGGGGGGCTGTTAACGTTTTAATTATCAACGTTTGTTGATGTTTTCTTTCAAAACGTGAGTGAGAAACACGGCAAAACGTTGAGGTTGCCAGATCCAGCTTCTAGCTAGTTATACGATTTGTTCGTTGTTTTAAGAACACATAATATATTTAAACTCTAATATATATATATATATATATATATATATATATATATATATATATATATATATATATATATATATATATATATATATATATATATATATATATATATATATATATATATATATATATATATATATATATATATATATATATATATATATATATATATATATAAGGGAATAGCTCATTCAGTCTTCATTCCTCTCACAACACTATTTTATCATCGACAGTGTAAATACTGATAAGTGCTATATTTCACTGCTTTATAATGCTAAATTTTTTTTCGCAAATTATAAGACAGAGTCCCTAACATCAAAGTACAGAGACCCGGCCAATAATTTCACTTAGTCAAAGATAGAGTCCCTAACATCACTAACAACAAATCAGTCACAGAAGCCGTGCCAATAATTTTCCTATGGTGTCAAAGACAGGGCTACTTAACATCAAATCCCAATGACGCAGTCATAAAGTTAAGCATCACAAGTGAGAAGAAAATCCTAATGTAGCCTACACAAGCCTGTAGCCTGATGTAGCCTGTAGCCTGATGTAGCCTTCAGCCTGATGTAGCCTGTAGCCTGATGTAGCCTGTAGCCTGATGTAGCCTGTAGCCTGATGTAGCCTGTAGCCTGATGTAGCCTTCAGCCTGATGTAGCCTGTAGCCTGATGTAGCATACAGACTGATGTAACCTGTAACCTGATGTAGCATGTAGCCACATGTAGTCTGCACTAGCCTACGGAACCTGTTCGAGATCTTACCTTCAACACTTTCTCCATTGATCTTCACCATCTTTCTTTTGGCCGTCCTTGTTTTCTCTTGCCCTATAGTGTCCATCTGACAGCAGCCTTGACACTGCGTCTGCTGTCATTATTACCCAAGGCCCAACCATCTCCATCTTCTTCTGTTGGTTGAATGAGTCATCGTTTTAACTCCTGATCTGGTTTGGCCAGAAGATTCTCAATATTTGTCGAAGCACTTGTTCTGGAAGCTTCTGGTTTCATCTCAATCTCCGTTGTGGTTTTCCAAAACTCCAAGCCATACATGAGGTCTCTAAGCACATCACTATTAAATATGCGTACTTTGGTAGTTGGGCTTATGGGCTTACCTTTCCTGAGTTCGATAATATATTCCTTAGCATACTCAATTAGTGGTTAGACTTCTATATTCTATCGTTTACCTCTATTAAGCACAATACAGTAGGATAGAGTGAAAAAGTTAAACAAAATAATCAGACACATATATATTCTTATAATGTTTTTATTTAACTCTTTTCATTCAACTTAAAATAATTTATTAAAACCCTACTCAATAAATCACAAGTTCTTTTACAACCTCGCGCAACATTATGCAAAGATATACAGTCATTCACAATTCAAATATAAGGCAAATCGGCCTGTCAGCATATTCGTCATCAGTCTAAAGATGATCTCTTCAAAATGATGATTACATAGAAAAATACAACAAAACAGGACGTTTTCAGTTATCACTAAGTAAAGTTCTAACAAGGATTCGAACCACAGACATATGAATAATTTATAAATGAAACTGTCGGTATAGTATGAACTAGACCTGAATATGACGTTGTCAAATTAGGACATGGGTTTGGATGAGGTTATGGTGTTAGGTTAATTGGATAATTAGTCTACCTCAAGACATGGCTTAATTGTCCAAACACATGAGGCAAGTATTTTACCTAAATAAAAGGTTTTTAAAACTTTTAGATTAGTCCTCATCTAACCCATCGTAATACATGCTGTACTTCTCCACAAAAGGAATCAAATTTTAAGAACCTCTAGTCCATGTCTAACCTATCGTATTGCATATTAGACCTCTTCACAAAAGGATTCCAATTAAGTCTAACTTATTGTAATGCGAATCTCACCTTCCAAAAAAGAGCTATCAAGTAAAGAACATTTAGGCCCCGTCTATCATCTCTTGCTGCAAGTTGTACATGCCACAAGAAGCATCAAGTTTTATGAGCCCCTTCGTAGAGCAGGTTATACATCCACACAAAAGGAATGGTCTTAAGAACCTCCAGTCTATGTTTAATTTATCATTGTGCAAGTCGAACCTCCCCACATAAGGAATCAACAGCCTCTAGTCCATGTCTAAATTATTGAAGTGTATGTTGTACCCCTACAAAGCTTCTAGTCCATGTCTAACCTATTGTAGTGTATGTTGTACCCCTACATCTCTAGTCCATGTCCAACCTATTGTAGTGTATGTTGTACCCCTACATCTCTAGTCCATGTCCAACCTATTGTAGTGTATGTTGCACCACTACAATGCCTCTAGTCCATGTCTAACCTATTGTAGTGCATGTTCCGCGTGTTGTACTTCTCTACGAGTTCCCTAGCATCATCTTCCTGAAGCTCCACATACTCCACCGAGTCGAACAACTTCGAGTCGTCTTCAGGTAACCGGAAATTGGCTTTCAATTCTCGCACGTTCGATTCCGGGACAATTTTTTTCAAGTTTTTTCTTCTTTCTTCAGCGCGCCGTTGAAGTTCAAGGTCACTGGGTTGGATGATGACAGCCCGGCGGGTAAACCCGGTGAAACCTTTCAGTTTTTTCTCTCTGATGGACGGGCAGACGTTGGGCTCGTCGATGATGTAGTTCCGTCTGCTCATCCCCGCCTCTTTGAGAAGCCTGCTGTAACAGCCGTCGGCGAGTTTGTTTAACTTCTTGAACCTCCGCATGTAGTCGTCAGATTGTCCGCTTCCGGTGTCCATCTTTTCAATGATTAGATCCGTACCCAGAATGCAATATCGCTTCTCCGGATGTTCCTGTTGCTGGGTTACCGCCCATGTTGTTTTGCCACATCCGGGTAGACCAATTAGCATAATGACCTCACAGTCGCGATTAATTTCCGGCGGTACTTGCCCAGGGACGAGGTCAGCTATCGGAAATTTTCCGATGAACTCGAAACCTTCCGGAAGTGGAAACCAAGGGTCACGCTGCCCAAAGTTGACCCTGACCTTGCAGTTTTTTAAAGAAATATGAGGAAACATTGCCAAGTTTTTGTCATGGTCCTTCAAGGAAATAATTTCACCAAAGTCTTCTCCGTTTTTAATGAAAGACAAAACGGGCGGGGTGGAATCTAAGTCTAACTTCGCTCCCAAAACGTCTTCATTTTCGTAGATTTCTTCATAACTTCGCTCACTCATTTCCGTATACCCCAAACTCCAGCATCCTTTAGAATTCCGGAACGAAAATATTTCCGGCGACCACCCAACTCTAGCGACAGCAGATGACTCTTCAGCAGTACCCGACACCGCATCCATAATCTTCACCTCAAAAAACACCTTCCCTTGAAGAACTCCGTGTGTCGCCTTTATATCCGCCCACAGGAGTTTGAACCCTGATTGGTCAGAACCACCGGAAGTCGTGGCGCCATATCCGTTGGCCTGGATCTTCAGGTTCACATCGCTGTTGTACTCATCTAGAATGACCAGCTCCTTTCTGGCATTGCGTTTGTTGTTGGCCTGCCGTTCCAGAGCGGCTTCGTCCAAGACTGGACGTGGTCTTTGAGCAACGTTTGACCTGTTTGGACTTCCTCTCCAGGCTGCTCTGGGATTCGAACCCCGAGTTCTGGAATCTTTAACAAATGAATCATTGCTGCCTCTATCGTGATGGTTATTGTCTTTCCTATTCTGATCATATCGTTTTTTGCCGTTGTTCGTGTGCGGGTTGTGATTTCGATGCTGTCGTGGGTTGTTGGTATTCGGCCGCGGCGGTGTTGGAGATGGCAGCAGGAAAAGATGGGTGTCGTCTGTTAAATTTTCAGTATCGTCGATTTGGTTCACGTCGTTTGTGTCTGGGGCTAAATTGTTCTGAACTTTATTGCTAAATGTGTTGTTGTTGTTGGTGGTGGTGTTATTATGAGCTGCTTTTTTTCTAGAGAAATTGTCATTCGCGTCAAAGGGGCCAGTGGTTTGTTTTGTTGAATTACCTCCCTTCGAAAACTGCTCAGTCGTATCCACGTTAGTAACTTCCTGAGGTTTATTAACTGGGTTATCTCCCCCTTTTCTTGATTGGCTGTATCGTTTACTGACAGGACGCTCGTGCTGTGGAGCAGGGGAATGGTTCTCTTGCTGACCGGAGTTCTTTCCCCTCGCACCTCGCCCGTTACCTCGCCCACGCGACCTCCTATGATAACCAGCGTCGCCATGGTTACCGTTGTCATCGTGGTTGAAAAAAACACGAGAATGGCCGCCATGTTCATTATTTTCGAATTCATCCTCTTCATAATCTTCATACTCGTCATCATAATAATGCTCATAAAGGTACTTGTATTTCCTGTTATAAAACTCCTGTTGTACTGGCTTATAGTGAGGGGGAAAACGTGGGCTATACCTATTGTATTCAAAATCTCTGTGAAAATATCCTCGGGGCCTAGGAAATCTATGATTGTTCCATTCATCTTGATAACGCCTTTCTCTATAGTTGGCCTCATACTCTCTAAACTTTCCTGTGTCAGAATAATCTCGTCCATTCTGATTCCATCGTGTGTTGTGGGCGCTAGGAGAGAAAGACTTTGAAGGATAGCTGTTTGAATCAGGTTGGTTGTGAACTACGTCACGTTGATCTGTGTAGTTGGACGATTTTCGGAATTCCTCGTTTTGTGAACTTACATTTGTAGTTGCGAGATGGTGGAGGTGTTGTACTGAAGAACCAGCCTTTTCAAGATGATGTTGTTGCGGTGTGGGTAGCAAAGGAGGATGTTGCTGAGGTGTGTGTGAACCTTCATTCTGAAAATCTGAAATTTGGTGTGGATTTTCATCGAGGTCAATTTCAAGCAAGGGATTGATGGAGATCGGGGCGGAGCTATCTGTATTATTGACGTCACTGGCATTGGCTGAAGCCGATTGGTTGCCTGTTTCTTGAGGTGGATTGATGGAGACCGTGGCTGAACGGGCGTGAGACTTGGGTATAAAAGGTGCAGCCGTTGGTTTCAGCTTGTGAGTCGAGACGTGAAGTGCATCGGGTGGGGGTGCTAAGGGTTGTATACATGGCACGAATTGAGGTTGAGGCTGTACTAGGCCTGGGGGTGGTACGCTGAAATCTTGCGGCACTGGTACTAAAATTGGCATATGAAGCAATGGACTGGGTTGTTGAGGGCGTAGGCATATGGGGACAGGTGCCGGGACGTAGCAGATGGCACCAGGTTGTGGGACTTGGTAGAACATCGGACACCCTTGTGGGTACATAGTAAGTTATTGTTTGGTGCTACTGTTGCGCGACGTAAGCTCCAGTGCACATCATCACTACAACACCTTTTAAAGTAGGGCCTTTTTGATTGACAGCAGCTTCAAATACAAACAATCTGAAATAGAAATGTAGATGTTGGAAACTTTAAAAAAAAGAGAATATATGGTATTAATGTTAAAAGTGGTCATAATGAGAAAATTGAAATGTCTTTATAAAAACAAGTGGCTTCATTCCGGTTATGTATTTCGTATGTATATGTTACAGGCAATGTGTATACATTGCCTAATTATTTAACAGAATTCCGGTTTTCTACACATTGCCATAACATTTACATTAGTCTGTATTAAGAAAATAACAAGTTCTAAGACGTTGACTTTTCAAATATGGATCTCTAACAGATTATTATATCACCTCACAGTAGTACACTAAGACCACCTCTTCCTCGACACACTGCTTAAATAGGGCCAGTCACCCGCTCTCCTTAAGTAAAAGGACATTTTCTTGTTGTTATTTTTTTTTTCAAATTTATTTCTAAAATATTAATTATTTCCCTTTAAAGGGGACATAACCAATTTAATAGCAAATATATAGACATAGATAATGTGAACTCATTGCTTGAAAGGCTGAATTTTGCCGAAACACCACTAATCGCTTTTATATTGAAACTCTTACCAGATCCAAGTCGAGATTAGGTTAACTGGTATTGTTCAATTTTTTATAAGGCTTTTAAAAGTGTTTCCGAAATAGTTGTTAACTACTAAATCTTTATTTTTAAAACTTCATTTGTTACATTCACTTTACTGTTTAGTTGTTGATGACAGTTTCAGGTATCACTACGGAAGAAATTTCCATACTGACAATTGTGATTATTAATTCGTTATTTCTGGATGGATGGATGGATGGATGTGTGTCCGCAGCTTTAAGTAGTGTCTCCTCCTCAACGAAGCAATATCGAGGACTAGTTTCAAAAGCAAATATATTAAACCCATATTCTGCTAGCGTCCCACTTATAGGACGCTTGTAAAAAAAATTGCTAAAATTTATTAAAAACTAGTTAAAACACAAATTATGTTTCATTGTATTTGAAAATGGCTAGACTATTGAATTTGTGTGTGTTTTGTGAAAAAAATTAATTTAGAAAAATGTTATAGTGCCGGATTTGCAGGACTTGTCAAAATGGCGGAAAAAAGAAAACATGCGAACAGGAAAATGCATATCTTCTAAAATATTAACATTTTAAGTGCAAAATACATTTGAAACTTGTAGCAGTACCATATTTCTATCTGATAAAAATTTAAGAATAACAATTTTTTTTTGCTGCTTCGTTATATCAAGTGTACAACAAGCGTCCCATAAGTGGGACGCTGGCAACGAATGGCCCCATGTAGATTGTTACACAAACGTCACATTTATTGGACACTAGCGAGAATCACAGATGCAAATGTTTATGTTTAATGGTTATTTATGGTGAAACAATTGTTGACTTTGTTAACTGTTGACTTTGGGGTGTTAAGTAGTATTTATAGATATTTAATTATGACCTTGACCTATAATTATGCAGATTGTTACACAAACGTCACATTTTTTGGACACTAGCGAGAAACACAGATGCAAATATTTATGTTAAATGGTTATTTATGGTGAAAAAATTGTTGACTTTGTTAACTGTTGACTTTGGGGTGTTAAGTAGTATTTATAGATATTTAATTATGACCTTGAGCTATATTTTATTATATATTATTTTATTAAAAAAAGCAAATATCGAAAAACTTACATTTTATTTTTAAGTTTTCAGATTTACACTTACTGAAGAATTTAATACCATTGAATACAAACTAATTTAGTATTGCTGTAAATTTACTAGCGCGTGATATTAAAATTATAACAAACCAGAATAATAACAATGGCAACGATTTAGGTGAAATGATTCAGTCATTGGGGTTGGTTAACTCTCTTCATATAAGAGAGCTTAAGCTACATATAGCAGAAATGTGAATTAGCTGTGTACAGTTGTCATCCCCCAATAATATTCCCCTCCAAAGGTTCCCGATACTAGTTTTACTTTGTTAACTTTTTAAGGAGATTCCTGGTGTTAGATTGGGAGCCGTTCACATAGTGAGGTGCATACATGGATGAGAGCCATGAACACTCAATACAAGCCCCCCGAGACGGATCCGTGCCCTAGAAATAAGATGTCTGATGTCCTAATGTACGCCTGTGAGGGGGGGGGGGGGGGAATAGCGAGGGTAACAAAAGAGAAGATGGCTGGATGACATCTGGGACTGGACCGGATCATCTCTTGCAACTTCACTGAGGGCAGAGTTTCTTTCGGGCATCATTTCGGAGGAGGGAGGGGGGGGGGGGGGGGCTCTGTCCCCAGAACAAAATGGAATTTATATACAAAACAAACTTTTACCAATGTCCACCCTTTCCCTGAAATTTAAGTCCCCACCCCTGAAAATTTCAAGTACGCCCCCAAAAAATCAATTATTTATATTTAATTATATTACAGTTTCGATGAATAATAACAATATTTGTGATCATGTGTGTATAATTAGATGTACTAGTCACAGCTTTACTTATTTCCAAGTGTTTTTCACTTTGATGGATGCTAGATTGAAAGAAAACTAGACTTTTGAACATAATTTCTGCATTTTAGACCATGGTATGGCTAAACCAATTGATCATTTTCAGTATTTTTAGCTGTCCTAAACTATGTAATCATTGGTCTAACAATACAAAATCAGTATACAGCTTAATTTTCGTGTGATTAGCCATATTTCGTGATAAATGATTTTTTTTTCAATAAATATACATGGGGCCGTTCGTTGCTAGCGTCCCATTTATGGGACGTTTTTTAAAAAATCGATATTTAAAAAAGTATTGATTTTTAAAAAAAATCCATAGTCATTCCTTCATTCAGTGCCCAAAAGCTAAACCATATCAAAAAATTATAAAAATTTGAGACCTTGGGATAATATGGGTTTAAGCAAGTTCCGAGGATGATTGTGGGCCAAAAAAATTCCCGGAATTCCTTCCTGGATTTCCCGGAAAAGCCAAAAAACCTCGAAAAAATGCAGTTTTTGGCCCATATCTCGGCAACCAGACCACTTAGCGACTTGAAACATTTACCAATCGATTCCTGCCATAATTTAGAACAATAATGCCGATGAAAGTTTTCAAAAATATCCTTTCGTTCGGTCACAAAAAAATTGCTGAATATATGATTTATCTCGATTTAAAATTGTTATTGATAACATAAGGAAATTGCGCTTAAATTGTCACTAGGCTTTTTATTAACTTGTTTATGAAAATACATACATTGACCGATCACGTGTACCCCCTCCCCACCCTTAAAAATTTCAAGTCTCCCGCCCCGGAGAAAAATGTCTCAATGAAACCCTGACTGTGGATAATGTGTCCAATCATGTCACTATATGCTTGTATTACTTCCCTATTCACAGCGCCACATTAACCCTATACAGAGCCCCCCCCCCCCCGAACGAAATAGAATTTTTATAATGAATATTTATATACTTTTACCAGTGTCCGCCCCCCCCCCCCCCTCTCCCGGATAAATAAGCCGCCTGTAAGAAACACTGAGCCCATCAATACTCCCCCACGATTAGATCGTTTAACAGTTCATGTTATCAACGCCCACGTAAGTCTCGGATTGATATCTCACTGAGTCATCACTGCTATAAATAGACTGATATCTAGGTCAGTGTTAATCTCTAAAGTAGGTTCAGTTTGTATTGTTTGTTGTTACTTCAACTATTATCTTATCAGTAATGTATGGGACAGAGACCATCGCCATTACAATTACATAGGCGTAGCTGTGATGGGTTCTAGGCGGGGGGGGGGGGGGATTTGGGGGGGGGGAGGTTTAGGGGGTTGGGGTAGGGGGGGAAGACACCCGTACCAAGGCAATATATGTCGCCCAGATTGCTGGGGTGTCCCAGTTCCTAATGCTGGACGCCTGTTTCCACTTTTTCCTTACACACTCAGCACAGTTGTTAGTTATTGATTTGTTCTACAGTAAATTACTACAGTGTCACTCGAAGGTGGAGAAGTAGGTATAGGTGGGGTTTTACAGGTTGTATATATATATATATATATATATATATATATATATATATATATATATATATAATTTGTATATCTATATATATAATTTGTATATATATAAATGTATATATATATATATACATATATATATATATATATATATATATATATATATATAATTTGTATACACACATATGATATGTATATTACATTCTGGCCTACCTCATACTACCCTTGACCTCAGCAATGAACCACCCCCCCCCCCCACACACACATACACATACATCCATTACACCACACCCCTATATTGTAATTCACCTGAATTAAAAAGTACTACAAATCATTGTTACTACTACACTACAATTCGCACATCCTATACACCACATTGTCTCTCTACCAATCCCCCTACACCACTGAACTTTCCCACCCCCACACTGTAGTAAAACTAGCCCACCACCACTGACTTCATAAAGTACGATACAAATACACTAAACGTCACACTACCACCCACACTACACCATCATTAATGTCCACTAGATTCACCGTATAAAGCAATTAACCTACCCAGTATAGTAAGCCTTTTATACACTAATTCACCTTTACCCTATTGTATACGACTGCACCAAACTACACCCAAATCTACGATACTATCCTGTGCCCTACAATACCCTTCTCCGCGCTACTTTATCCTTACCTACACAGTACACTACTTTAACTTAATATAGTTTTTGGCGACAAGACAAACACATCGAACTCATGTTGACAATGTAACAATGTTTACAGTTCAACAGACAGCACACATATTCCCACTCTAACCCAACACATAACTCAACACATAGCCATACAGTTCTACACATAACTCAACACATAGCCATACAGTTCTACGCATACCTCAACACATAGCCATACAGTTCTACACATAATCCAGAACTGACCTATACATAACCACACATATCCCTACACACACCCTACAAATATCCCTATACATATCCCTTCAGACAACATAATACATATCCCTTCACATAACCCAACACATATCTCTACACATAACACAACACTGGCCTACACATACCTTAAACATATTCCTATACATATCCCTACACATAACTCTACACACAACCTACACATAACCCCACACATAACTCTACATATACCCAACACATAACCCCACACATATTCCTACACATACCTTACACATAACTCTACACATACCCTACACATAACTCTATACATATACAACACATATCCCTACACATATTCCTTCAGATAACATAATACATATCCCTAAACATAACACAACAAATAGCTCTACCCAATAACACAACACATACCCCATTAGCTCTACACATAACTCTACACTGACCTTTACAAACTCAACACAAAACCCAAAACAGAAAAGGTCAATACTTACCCATACCGTATCCATAACTGTCTGTTGTGAGTCTAGTCCTATGAACAGTGTGTAGTTAAACCACACAGACCAACACGTAGACACCAACACACTCAGTTCGTTACCTAATCATCGAGTATGACCAGCCAACACACGATACGTTAAATCTAGTTTCAGTTTGTGTGAAAATGAAACCTATTGATTTTTTTTTTCATTCTTTTATATTCATTTATTTATATTTAATTTAAGTATATACTTTATGTTTATTGTGTATAAATTAATAAAGGTAGATATTTATTTATTACAGGGTTTTGTTTACTTTATAAGCTTAGATGAAGATGTGTTGGCGAGGATGAGTTGGAATATTTTCTAGGCCAAAGTTCGCAGTACAAAGACATTATTAGGTAGGCCTATAGTTCAGAATTGTCTACTATACATAATTAAAAATCATTCAATAATTCATTAGTAATTTGTAGTTGATCAATTTTACTCTAATAAAAAACTAAACACGTAATTAATAAAAAAAAAATTTCGGAATTTTGATAAGGTAGGTCTAAATTCTAGGAAATATTTTTTAGAAATTCGCAGAAAAAGGGGAAAGCACTGTGCTTTAAAAAATTGGAAGGAAGTATAGGAAGGGCGGTTTGTTTACTAATAAGTAGGTCATTGGTTGCCCTTAGTTTCCGAGATACATGCCATAATCACAACACAACAAAAAATATGTTTTAAAAATATTTGCCACAAGGGGCAGGAAAAAATGTAGCTGTTGCATTGCATTACTTTTATATGAGTGTGTATAATATTTTAATCTCTTGCCTTCTATATTTAAAATAATGTTTTACCTATGTGCGCAGGCAAAATGAGGTCAACTATTGTCACAACACACGAACACATCGCCGCCCCGCACGTATTAGTACTGACTGAGGAAGTTGAATCTAGATAACTTTACATTTATTTAAGCTTTTCACGTTAAGCCTGAAATAGGGGCAAGACTAAAGAGTTAAGCTTTGGGTTACAATTATGAGTTAGGCTCATGGTTAAAGTAGAGATTACAAGGACAGGTTAGGGCCACTCAGTGTTTCTTTCAGGCATCTGGGGGGGGGGGGTCCAAAAAGAACTAAAAAGAAATTATATAGAAAATATATACTTTGCCACCCCCCCCCCCCAACTTGAAAAATTAGTCACCTCCCACCCCCCGGGAAAAAGTCACCCACCCCCTACCCCCTTGGAAAAATTTAGTCCGCTCCTCTCTTCCCCCCCCCCCCCAAAAAAAAAAGTCCCACCACTGTGTAGTAATATTTCGATTAGGGTGACGGTTAGAGTTAGGGTTCATCTTACGGTTAGTTTTAGGATTATTGTTGGAAGTTGTTTTTTTTTTTTTACTGATCAACCTGTTTCGTCCACTATCAGCCAAATTCAGACATTTGCCGGTAACAGGCATAATAGGCATACTTGACTGGGGTTGAATTGCTGGTCCTTTTTTTTTCCTATCCTTCCGGGGCAATAGAAATTTTCCCTATCATTTAGGCCTACTGCTTACTAAGCTAAATAAAATGGGCACTTTTTTTTCACGACACCGAGTCGGCATTGACCTAGTTACGTGGAAAGGGGAATTTTCTAAGGAAACAAATCGATCGTCCGTTACGAATGCTACAGTGTTGTGTTGCCCAATGCAGTGTTTACCTGTACCTGTCTAGACAAGGTGCTGTAGTTTAAGTTAAACACATTGCGTTTAATTTGTGGTGTTTAGAAGTATTTCATCATCGCGTAACGTAAACGTGGCATGTGCTGACTATACAATATTTTTTTTTTAAATAACGAAGCCAAAGAAACAGCTCAACTCTACTGTATCTACTCCGCGAACAGTAAAGACTGAATGTCATCTTTTTATTCCTTGTTGACCGCTCCATATTTCCTTAAAATTTTTTATTTGACACTTTTGTTATCTAGCTGTAGTCTGTTGTTTATTTAAACTACGGGTGACGAAGTGGCCTAGCAGTAGAGAGCTGTACTGCTAAAATTTAACGTAAGTCTCGAGTTCGAATCCGGGTTCGAGTCCACTGAGTCCACCAGAGTCCACCCAACTCTGATGGGTACCTAACTCACGTTAGGGAAAGTAAAGGCGGCTTGGCATAGTGCTGACCACACTATCTCTTCAGATGCCGAGGTCACAGAAACAAGTGAACTCTACTTCACTTGCCCCGTAGACCGCCAGGTTTGAAAGGGAACTTTACTTACTTTAACTACAAGTCCAAAACTTTACCTATACAGGTGTTTACCAACTGATCATATTGCGATAATCGAACCTGGGCTAGTAATCGATATGCTTGAATAAGGGTGTCTTTTATCTCTATGTGTACTTGATTGAGAAATAATCGAACTTTTGAAAAGAATTTTTTTCCAATATAGATTTTCGAACATTACAAGGAACTTAATCGAAAAAAAATCAATGTGTAGATTTGACGACTCAGGTACGGTGTGTAGGCGTTAGCCAAACTTTATAGATCACGGGGGGGGGGGGGGGGGTTAATTCTCCAACCGAACACCTCCCCACCCCCCCCCCCCCCCCCACCCCGCCATCACCTCATTTAGTAAAATTAAACTGATTATTAAAAAAAAAAAGTACAGTACTCTTTATTTGCTGGACACAGGGACGTCCTATGGACTGAAACCCGGGATCCAAACTCGAGACTTTTGAGTTAGCAATCGAACGCTCTATCGTTCGGCCGCGACGTTCCTTTAACTGCTAATTAGTAACCAGAACTGAAAGAAATCAACAAAAATGAAAGTGCCGTTTATAATTTAAGTTCTTAGTAAAAAAAAAATCCTTTAACAAATTGAGCTATGTAATTTTATTAACATGAATATTCTGTAACTATTCCTAAGGCTCCGGGTCAAATATATTTAAAAAATAAATCAGAGTGATCCCGCCACCCAAATAAAATGATGAGGTACGCCCATTGTTCTATTAATTATATTTCACCTTTTCTAGTAAGACATTAAGTGAGTTCTATTGATGTGGATATTGATTAAGACAAAAGGTTAGCCCAATATATTGATTTTTTAAATGATAAGCTTTAAAAAAGAATTACTGGTTGTTAGATTACTTAAACAGACAAAGCTCTTTATTCTTATATACACGAGTTAAGACGAAACGTCCTGTCTCTGGCTCTACCTTTTGTTAACTGACTACATGTACACAGGGGCGTAGCGAGGGGGGGGGGGGGGCGGGGGGTGCGGACCGCACCGGGTCACACCATTTAAGGGGGTGACACCAAGGCAAAAAATAGCAAAATATATAGAGAAAAACTTGAGGGGGGTGCAAATCGAAAATTTGAAAGTTTGTCCCCGGGAAGGGTCGCTACGCCTTTGGGGGATGACACCATTAAGTGCCGCACCGGGTAACACCCGACCTCGCTACGCCACTGCATGTACACTTTCTACACATCACGGAAGACACAGTGAACACTCAAGGGACGTAACCATGATATACATAATACAAGGGAGGTAACAATCACAAACAAGACATAATGTAACAATGGTGTTTGCAAGTAGTGAAGAACCTTGATAGGGTAGATATCAAAGGAGATCTACAATCGCTAAAAATTGATCATGTGTTAAACGTAAATCCATATAGTTCTGGTTGTATTTTAATGTTCTGTCCATGAGGTAGAGCGGATCGTGCCTCCATCTAATACGAGCATTGCTTGAGTAGAATTAGCAAGGTTTTAGCTTCCTGCTTATGCGGGATTCGAACCTGGGTTTGGAGCGCTCGTGTTGTCAAGGGCGTCCTTGTACAAATACCATTGTAACACTGCCGATAGGATCAAGATTAGTATTAAGGGCTTGGTCAACACGGTTCAGACTTAGGATTATGACTAGGATTAGGATTTAGATCAAGGTTAGGGCTTAAAGTCTAGAGTAATGATTAATGTGTAATGATACCAGTATAATTTAATAAGTTGTCATTAGCAAAAGACATTAACGAAAGAAGCGTATTTGAATATCAACACCAGTAAGCATCAATGTTGGCTTTTGTAAAACTATCTTAAACATTTAGTTTAAAAAGAAACAAACAGAAACGTTTAAAATAACTATAGACATTTCACAGACGTTCTTTAATCCTTTTTAGTTCATTTTTTAAAAAAATACATCATAATATGTATTGCAAAATAAAAATTAAAACAACGTGCCAAAAATGTATATTACTAAACCGTTATCTCTAATACTAACTTTGTATTCGTAATAAAAACAAATTTAATAGTAGTCGAGTCACAAAACTTGTAGGTAAAACATACTGCTGTAATGATACCGATTCTATTAGAAGTGGTCATTGGCAAAAGACACTAATTCTATGTATATATATATATATATATATATATATATATATATATATATATATATATATATATATATATATATATATATATATATATATATATATATATATATATATATATATATATATGTATATGTATATGTATATATAAATATATATATATATATATATATATATATATATATATATATATATATATATATATATATATATATATATATATATATATATATATATATATAAACAACTGCAGGCATCAATACTTGCAATTTTAATACATGTTCCCAAATACATAAAACATAGATATACATATTTACATATTTACAAGAATACGAATTACATAATAAAATAATTTGATCAACAAAACTAAGTTTAACAAATATTATTAAACATTCGTTTGAAAATTACTCGAGTAAAATTATACATCTTCTTACAATTATTTATATAATTGATGTTTTAATCAGAATAATTATTTCACAGTTTTGACAGAGATGTCGCCACATGACTAACTAGACTAGCAAGGCGTGACTCGGGTAACGAACATGCTTCAGCCAACGAACCGAAGCATCACTCAACTGTGTCGAAAAAGAGCAAAACACTACTACTTCATCCAGGAGCAATTAAAATAAATAAGTGTAGGCCCTATACTTTTTTCGTGCGTTTTATTTTTTCAGCTAGGGTTTACTAACGAATTGTTCGTTTAACAAGCATGATACAAAATTTGATTATACTTGTCACTGATTTCATTCGGTGTGTATATTGATAACATTGGCTGTGCGATCAAATATTACAGTTTAAATAACATGACACGGCTACAGTGAAAAATGAATCATTAATCAAGGGACGTAACCGAAGGACGAATTGCAAGAAATATTTTTATAACAGTAATGTTAAGTTATCGCAACAGTCCTAATTTTTTCCAATTTACATCCTTACTTTAGAGTAAAGGACTCTAGCTTTTCTTTATTAAAAGTGAAAGACTGCAATTTTTTGGACAGCTGTGGGAAAATATTATATTTCATACAAAAAGTAAAGATTTTGAAATTATGGAACCGCTTTTAATGAAATTAATGTGTTCATCGGTTAGATAAGATCAATAGCCCCGGGGATTCTAACTCGTCGCAGTTGCGTAACGTGGGGGTGCTATGGGGTGTCCGCCCCGCGTGGCATCTTTTAATAAAATAATGGCGAAAAAATACTATTATTTATACATTATTAACACATACTGTTTGATTTAAAACTTGATAAAAATTTGATTATATCTATGAGTAATTTAGATTTTGATACTGTAACAATATTTATGTTAACTAATAAAACAACAAATAATTTAATTTAAAAAATCATAAGATATTACACAAATAATATGAAGAGACATTATTGTTTGAATTGAAAAAATCTGTTTAGAAATGTAAGAATCTGGTGAATGGATGTAGGGTTCCAAGAAAAATGCTCAATCGGAAAAATGCGCAACGGAAAATTGCGCACACAAAAAAAATACGCAAATACTCAAACATTAAATATTGTCATATTTTTAAAAGAATATGTTCTATAATGCTACAATGTACATACACTCTTTGTTAATACCTAAAAATGCTCGATTTTAGAAAACCAAAATGCCCTAACGCATTTTTTGTGCGCAGTTTTCTGTTACGCATCTTTCCAGTCACCGGATGTAAGTAATGGTTCACCTGTCAACTTAGATATACAGTGATGCCAAATGTTGTAGGAACGAAACCAGACTACGACTAGTGGAATGTTTCCTTGAAGCTAAAGCCTTAATATTCAACAATGACCATGTTACGAGATTAAAGGTGAGTACTTTTGGCTAACTTGTATGAGAACATATCTCGAAAACACAGAGAGGTATCCTCAAAAATGAGGGACTGTTATACACGTTGCCGTTTCATTGAGTACTTAAAATACAGAGTTGATTGAAAATAGTATACTGACATATAAATGGTACTCAGTTATATGAGTATTCACATAAGATAAATAATCAATATGGAGTATTGCTAAAAATTTAATGGGAATTTTAAAAAGAAACCAGCAATGTACACACAAAAGAGTAGGCCTATATATAAAACCCATTGTACGAAAAAATACACAACAAGAAGATTGTCTAACTTATAATTTTTGGCATGTAGGCCCAAGTCCCAAAACCAAAAGCTCATTCAAGAAATATTCCTACAAAAATAAACATCCTTCTTTGGTTTGCCACATCCGTGTTTTCTCAGGAAAACCGTTTTTCAAATATTCTTACTGTTCCATCTTTCAAATATTCACATTGGAATTGTCTAGATGCTCCGCCCATTACAGATTATGGTTTTCCATCCTTGAAGTATTCTCGCTATTTTATCCTTGAAATAATCACGTTATTTATTACCTTAAATTTTCTAGCTGTTCCATCCATCAAATATCCCCGCTGTTCCATCCTTCAAACATTCCTACCGTTCCATCCTCCAAATATTCCCGCTATTACATCTTCCTAATATTCTCGCTGTTCCAATCTTATAACATTCCCGCTGTTCCATCCTTTCAACATTCCTACCGTTCCATCCTCCAAACATTCTCGCGGTTCCATCCTTCAAATACCCTCCCTGTTGTACCGAATCACAAGTCTTTGAGCGCGATCCTTGTCCAGTTCGGCGTACTCAATCCTATCAAAATCCCGATCTTTCTCCTCGGGGAGGATAAAATTCGCCTTCATCTTCCGCACGGCGTCGGCTGGCACCGCCTTCCCGTTTTCCCGTGTCCTCTGGCACATCCGCCTCTCGTGCTCACTCAGTTCCGGTAGGATGACCACGGCCACGCGGATAAACCCGGAAAAATAACGCATCTTCTGTTTCCGGGCGGAAGGATACACATTCGTCTGATCCAGGATGTAGTTCCGGTTTAGCGAAGCGGCGATGGGCAAGAGAGTGTTTAAACAATCCGACGCCATTTTGATAAGCGTGGCGAATCTTTCTTCAAAACGGCTGTACCTTGCCATGCCCGCGACTCGCATTCTGTCTATAATGAGATCAGTTCCGAGTATGTTGTATCTCTTCTCCGGAAAAGTCGCCTGCTTGTTCATTGCCCACGTGGTTTTACCACACCCGGGTAGACCCACCAACATGATCATCTCACAATTTGATTTCTTGCTCGGAGCTTTTAATCCGTTAATCCTTTCCCCTACCGGCATTTGACTAATAAACTTAAATCCAGTCGGTAGTTTACTCCAAGACGGCTCCTGACCAAAATTTACTTTAAACGCTGCGTTTTTACAGTAAACGTGAGGAAAAAGCGCCATGTCTCTTCTCCCAACTTGGTAGTTCAGAACCTTCCCTGCTAATCCTAAATCCCGGCCGTTTTTCGTGAAGGAAAACTCCGGCGGGTTAACATCCAGGTTAAGCTTAGCTCCGATGACGTCATCCAGCCCGAACTCCTGCCCGTAGTCCGTGTACGTGTTGTTGTTGCAGACCTTCCCCACCCCGCCGTATCCAAACGACCAGGCGCTCTCGCCTAAAGCGAACGACGGCCCGTCCACAGACCACCCCACCCTCATCACGTTGGGGTGGGGTTCGCTGAACCCGGCTCCGACCCTGCTGTCCAGGTGGTCCGTGACCTTGACCTCGAAGTAAACTTTGCCCCTGCAGACCCCGTGCGTCGCCCGGACCCCGCCCCACATGATCCTGAACCCTTCCGGTTGGTTCAGCGTCGACGCGGAAAACTGACTTCCGGGGAAGCGGATGTTGAGGTCGCAGTTGTAGCGGTCAAGGACAACGGAAGTGTCAGCCATGACTGTTGTTGATGTTCCAGTGAATTTGGAAGCAGAAAAATAGTCCTGAAAATAAAAATAGATTATAAACAGTATTAGATCTATTTAAAATGAAATTCAACATGAGAAATCATGAAATATAACACAGGCCGCACTCGGCCTTGGACTCTTAGTCCAAGAAACTCACTGTATATTCGATAAACAAATTTTGAGTATATCGGTGCATAGTTCTTTGAGAAATCTCTTCGGGGGAGAGGGGGGGGGGGGGGGAGATGTTAGTGAAACACGTCTACCGCCCTTTTCCCAGAACAAAAATAAATTATATAAATAATATATACTTTTACCACGTTTGCCCCTCCCCCCCCCCCCAATTTTCATGTCTCCCCACCCCCGGAGAAAAAGTCTGAAAGAAACACTGTAGCAGAGTGTCTAATGGTTGTGCCGACTATCTAAACACACCTTCCTGTTTTGCCTCGTATAATGTCCTATGAAAAAACTACAACTCTTTGATGAGGGTACAATGAATGTGGCTGTTTGTGTGTGGGTGTGTTTGTGTTTGTGTGTGTGAGTGAGGGTGGCGTTTAGTGTTAATTCCACCTCGATTTCTATGACACTAAAGAGTCTCAAATCCAGAGTTTGAGAACCTTCGAACGCTCAAGACAACCTAGGAGCTGTGACATTGACATCTTTATCACAAAAAGTTGTCACAAAAAGATCATCAGACAACTTTACCAAAATGAGCATCAAAAAGATGTACCAAAAAGGTCACCGTAAAGATGTCCCAAAAAGATCAACCAAAAGAAATAAAAAAAAGATCAACTGAAAGATGTCCCAAAAAAAAACATCAAAAAGACGTACCACCAAAATCAACCAAGATCTGATAGAGCTTTTATTTTAAATTACCTCTAAAGCTACAAATAAAAACGAAGACGAAGAACAAGCCTGGTTTCAAAGACTCTCTCAATTCTTTGTGCGCCTTTTATTCATCAATAAGAAGTCACAATGGATAGATTGTACACATTTGTGTAATTGTATTGGTAGCTAAGCTAAACAAACAATAACATAAAACCATGGCAACTGTGCAAATAACAAAGCGATCATATTGGTTGGGCAATATTATAATGCTTGTGACACGGATAGGGTAACATATGTGCTGAATAACAAGGTCGGCTACACATCCGTGTTTGTCTAATAATAGAAATTGTCACGTGATATATGATTAATACAAACGTGTAACAAGTGAAGAAGAAAACTTATGTAGACTTCAAAGTTACGATCCATTTGTTGTTATTTCATCCGAATTTCAAAAGTCTGACATTAGAAAAGACGAGCGGATGGTGTTGTGACATTGATGTTGTGACATTGTTGTTGTGACATTGTTGTTGTGACATTGTTGTGACATTGTAGTGACATTGTTGTTGTGACATTGTTGTGACATTGTTGTGACATTGTTGTGACAATGTTGTAAGCGAGCTGGTCTAGTTACTTGTTACGATGTAAAACGACCGTGGGGTAGAATGTTGGGTGGGGGTTGTGTGTGTGGGGTGGGGGGGGGGGGGAGTCGGAATCCTCTAAAAATTGTCGTTACTAACATGGAAGAACAACCAGACAAACAAACCCACGTTTGTTTAAACAATGTTCAGAGAACCATTACAATACCGGTGTTGGAAGCTGTGAAGCAGGTGTATTTTTATTTTTATTCACAGGAGCCGGGCTAGAATAGGCCCAGCTTCTAGCTACTATATTTAAAAAAAAATATCAAAAAATACTATACTCGTGCTAGCATATACCCACACTATCACCTCATATGACGAGGTCACAAAAACCAGGTCAACTCTACTTCATCTGTACTTTTAACCGTCAGGTCCAAAGTTTAACTTTAATTTATTTAAATAACATACCAGAGTCAATTATCAGTAAAAATTGAAGATACGTAAAGTAGCCTTCAACACAAATAAAATATCGCTATGATAACTAGTGCAAGATTTATTAGTTGATAAAAAATGAAGCTATTTTTAGAAGTGTGTGTAGGTTAACTATGACTATGTGACACATCACGTAGCGCCCTCTGCGTGGTTGCTAGGTTGACACTGGACTCTCGTTTTTAAAAACAAAAAAGAGACGTTACTAAAAATAACACCACAAATATAATAACATTTTAATTAAAACTTACCAATCAAGAAGCTTACTCGAGTAGCTGAATTAATAATTCACCAAAAATACACTGTCAAACTAGTAACGTCGCCTTTCCATATTACTATGCAGCTAATTTATTTATAGCACTCAGCTGTGTAGTTAGCTTAAACGTAAACATTCTAAGTAGGTCAATGGTTTGCACGGGTCAGAGGTCACGAAGCTTATTAAAAAAAAAGATCGATAACTCTGATTTTATTTACAATAACTTGTGTTAATAAGCTATGCGTTCGAGAAAAGAATATATAAAACAGCTATGAGAATGGAAAAATTAAAACGTCACTGTATCGTGCGAATCAAAACAGCAACTGAACACACGCAAGTTCTTCCGGGAAAATGGTGAAATACATGGTAGTTAAAGGTCATGATGACATTTCGCGTTTTAGGTCAAGATCGTTATCGGTGTAGGGGTTTATCGACGTTGGCGAAAACAGCTGAGTACAGTAAGATCAGGTGTACATAGGGGGGGGGGGGGGGAAACTGAGGGAAGAACATGATATGCAAATGGAGAAACGGAGAGAGAGATGGAGAGAGGAAAGAAATTAGATAAAGGGAGAAGGGGGGATGGGGAAAGTAACAGAGAGAGGGACGAAGAGAGGGTGAGATTGGGAGCTGAGGTGGATTGAGAAAGAGAGGCAAAGATGGACAGAGACAAAAAGAGAGAAAGTGGAAGGGGGAGGGAGGGAGAGGGAATGTGTGTGTGTGTGCTACCTTCTTCTTCTTCTTCGTTCTTAATTTTAGTGTTGGGACAGTGGCGTAGCGAGGTCGGGTGTCACCCGGTGCGGCACTTAATGGTGCCACCCCCCAGAGGCGCAGTGACCCTTCCCGGGGACAAGTTTTCGATGTGCACCCCCCTCCCCTCAAACTTTCGATTTGCACCCTCCCCCCTCAAAGTTTTCTTTATATATTTTGCTATTTTTTGCCTTGGTGTCACCCCCCTAAATGTTGTCACCCGGTGCGGTCCGCACCCCCCGCCCCCCCCCCCTCGCTACGCCTCTGGGAAGGGATCCCCCTACAACACAATTAAGGATACGTGCAGGGCCGGCGCTACCTATAAGGCAAACTAGGCGGTCGCCTAGGGCGCCATTCCTAGGGGGGAGGGTGCAAAAGGTTTAATAATTGCTATTATAAACAAAGTACCTAATAATTAATAACTGTTAAAAATGAGTAGCGATTTATTTCGGCACCCAGGACGAACTATCAATTTTGCACCCTACCGCAAAACTAGGTCTATATAGGTCTATATTTATTCGCGATGGTGAAAATGCAACCCCACCTCCCTAATTTGGAAAGGTCGGGGCGCTTTTTACCAGTAACTTTGCCTTTTTAATTTGGTTTCATATAATTGATGTAGAAACCGATTAAATAAGTTCGTAATTTAAATTTCGAACATTTCAAACAGTTATCTAATTTTAATAGGGCTTGTAAGGTCTCGTTTTCTCTGACTTTGAATTAGAAATCTGTCCTGGTGTATAGAGTTGTAATGACGGGGTGTTCAAAGTATTGTACTTGTTTGGTAAATTTTGATGAATCGTTTAGATTTGGGAGTAACGGTGGAAGGCTGTTGCTGATATGGTTTCGTAGGTATAAAGTATCGAAGTGTTCGATACTTTATACAATAATTTTTATTTGGCTGATATGTAGATGAAGGTCTAGTGGAATCTGATTGGTAGTAGAGAAATGAGAATGCAGGTGATGAAGTATCGCAGTTCTGGAGTATTGATTCTTTAGGTATTAAGGTAACGAATTATATCGACTGTTTAAGTGTAGTAGTAGGTCCAGTGAAATCGTTGTTGATTGGGAGTATCGTTTGTAGAGCTGGGTGAAGTTAAATAAGTTGGTGTCGTAGTTATGGAGCATCAAGTCTAGTTATGTTTAGGTTTTGAAGTTTGATATGTGTTGTGAATGTATTAGAGAATATCGAGTAGTCGAGTTTATCGTAAGCTAGATAATTTCAATTCAGTACGGAACACACTACAAAGAAAGGCGTGCGTTCTCTTGTTGAAAAATCTTTAGTTTTGTAGGGATCTATATTACCTCTCTTAGCGTATTAAAATATAATATTAAATATGATTTCATTTATAACACGTAAACTTTCTTTTTTATTTAATCAATAATTCTAGCAATGTTACACGTGTTTGCATTTTATGATAGGCGGCCCTTTATATAGGAACATAAGTGATCCAAAGTTCCGAAAAATCCCGGAGGGAACAGTAAAATAAAATATGTCATCAAAATTGAATAAAAGTATGTTATAACAAAGCTACGGGTTTTAGACTTCCAAATAAAACCTACAGTTAAGTACTTAATTGGTAAAATATATTGATTTTACAAGGTTACATAGCTAATATAAAAGATTTATTACTATTATTACGTAATGAAATTTAAAGCGTTTTATTGTGTTTTTCAAGCATATCTTAGATACACTTGGTTAACTTAGCTATTCTTTTGAAAGTTATTTCCCTTGAATAAAATTTTGGTATTTGTATTTTCAAATGTGAGATAATTCGTTGCTTAACTTTACATTCATTTCAAATTCCTGCACCTTAGGTTGACCGCTTACATATAATTACAACTTTACGTTATTATTTGCTATTGTAAAAATATATAGAGAGCTTAAGTTCTAAACAAAATAGTTTGGTAGGTTTTTTTAGCATTATCAAGTTGAAAAACAAATACATCAGTAGTCGATGTAGATTGCAATACTTAATGCTAGTAGACATAGGGACATCCATAAATGACGTCACGTCTCTGAAGATTTTTACCTCCCCCCTCCCCTCCATCACACGTCGTCACAAATAGCCAGATCCCCCATTCCCCCTAAAATG